CCAGGGGAGACAGCTGATATCATTCCATCAGGTCCCAGTCAGGCTGAGACGCCCCCCGAGAGAGCTTTACAGATATCATTCCATCCGGCCTCAGTTTTCCGAGGCACTCTCTCGACTAATGGGTCAGAGGCTAATGCAGAGGGGGTGGTCTAAGAATCGGCTGTAAGGCGACATTTGTGGATGAGGGAATAAACAAATATCTGAGAAATAAAAGAATTATGTAAGAATTAACACCCTAAAGCAGGAGGCAGCACGAGTCGTATATGACCAATGGCCAGGAGACACCCCAGTGGGGCCAAGTGGCCAGGGATGCCTTTGGGGAGGAGGGAGCTTTGGGTTGAGTTGCAGAGGGCCTATGGGGTGTGGATGATGGAGACGCAGGGGGGTGGATATTCTAGCTGGTGTTGTTTCTGAATCGCCCTGTCCTCTAGACCATGCTGCCGGTGGGCTGTGTCTGCATCATTCCTTACAGCAGCCAGTACGAGGAGGCCTACCGCTGCAACTTTCTGGGGCTCAGCCCACACGTGCAGATCCCCACCCACGTGCTGTCCTCAGGTGCGTGCTTCTTCTGTTCGTCGGAATCTCCGAGCCGCGGGGCTCAGAAGTGGAGCTGGAACTGGCTCCTAGCTGCATTCGAGGACAGCTTTGCTGGCCTCCGAGGCAGGAGGCCCCATGTTGTGGGGCCAGCTTTCCCAATACCATTGGGCCTCTGTTTTTAGGCTTTAAAATGGGGGCAGGTTAGTCTGGACAACCTCATAAAAAGGGTGTTTTGACGGGCGTGGTTTTTAGTTGGGGGCAGGTCAAAGTCCTGCGGGTGGGAACAACACAGATGGATGTCAGAGGATTGTCGGACCGTCCTGGTGAGTGTCAGTTGGAGATGCTGTGTTGCTTCTGGAGGCTTGCAGGGCTGGGATAGCATGCCTTCAGACTCCATAAATCTCGTGGATTTCTCTTCCTCTCTCACTGTTCTGTCACACTTCCTTGTCCTCTCCAAGTGATTTCTTCCTTCTGTGTCCCTTAAGAGTGTCCCTGACATTCATTAGTAGAGTGGAGCTTGCACAGCCCGGCTTCGCCCTCAGTGCTGACAAGCTTCTCTAGTCAGAGAACCAGGATTCGCATCAGCAGCCCTCACTTTTGGTTGGGAAGTTCAGGAGTCAGCCTGGGTGCAAAGCCTGTCCTCCCCAGGTAGTCAGGACTTCTTCGAGCCCATGGCAGGGGCAGCACAGGCTCATGGATGGCCGGGAGGTCAGTTGGCGGGCATGTGGCCCTCAGCAGCCCTGAGCCTCTCCCTCAGCACCCAGGCTGGGTCCTGAGTCCCCGAAAGGCAGTGCCTTTTTTCTGGGTGGACTTTGGAACATAGGCTTTGGTTTCAGACATGCGCTTGAAATTCTACCACTACTGGCTGTGTGACTTAGCGAGTCACTTAGCCTGAGTCTGTTTCCCTGTCTGTAAAATGGGGGTAAAAATGGGACTGCTGTCTAGTGGTCACTGGGCTGTTTAGTATTAAGTGAACTGAGGTATATAAAATAATGAGTAGTTATTGTAAAATAATATAATGTTAGTTTACTTGAGGCAAAATTAACCCATAACTATTCACAAGTAAACTATAGAGGTTTGAAATGCCAATGCAGTCATCTCAGAAGCCTGGAGTTTTCCCTAGTTGATCTGAGACAGTTTGGTGCGGCCACATGAGGTGGGCTTGTTGAAGGGATGAAGAGGCGCACTGAAGCGAGTGCTACGTTTTGTGTCACCACAGAATTTGCCGTCATCGTGGAGGTCCATGCAGCCACTCGCTCCAGCCTCCACCCTGTCGGCTGTGGGGATGACCAGTTTCTCAGCAAATACGAGTTTGTGGTGACCAGTGGGAGTCCTGTAGCTGCAGACCGAGGTGGGTGCTACTGAGCGGGGCTGCCTTTCACCAGATGGAGGGCAGGAAGCAGGGCACTGAGGTGGCCTCTCGCCCCATGCTGACACCTCCCACTACTCTGCCTCCACCCTTGTTCCCAGTTGGGCCGACCATCCTGAATAAGATGGAAGCTGCTTTGACCAACCAGAATCTGTCTGTGGATGTGGTTGACCAGTGCCTCGTCTGCCTCAAGGAAGAGTGGATGAAGTAAGTCCATGACACTTGGCTCCCAGAGTCTTTGCTTTCTGACTGGGGAGGGCTGGATTGCTGACAGCAGTGTGTCTGCTGAGTAAAACCAGAAGCTGCTTCCAGAAAAAGAGATAAGGCCGTGGCCACAGAAAAGAAGTCTAGAGGGTAAGAGCATGAGTTCATATACCAGCTCTGCTACTTAATATGTTAGCTGGGTGACGTGGAGCAAGTGACCCACTGCCCCAAGCCTCAGGCTGCTTGCTTCATTGTGAGACGAAGCGGGTGGGGCACATCTGCCTCCAAGGGAAGCAGTTATTTTTGCTGCTTAATCAACTTTAAAAATCTGAAAGATAATAGATGTTCCTTTTTTACTAAAGCAAGTTACTTTTTCTCTTCCTGCCTTCTTAGTAATTTTTTGTCAAATTTAATTAGTCAAGCATTGTCCTATTTTCAACTGAAGCTTAGGAGCGACCAATTCCTCCCATGAATTTAAGGAAAATTTTCTTTTCTCCTTTTCCCCCATTTTGATGCACCAGCCATATTACCCAGGGTTATAACTGATGGGCAAATGAGAGATGTAAGGTGCGCAGGTGCGGGCTGCCACCTTGCTGTCTTACATCTTCTGAGCGTTTGAATCTGGCTCCACCTACAGCTGTGTTGATATGGAAGCCATGTAGACCCCAGGACCAGAACTCTGGTGATTGTGCTGTGGTATCTGAGTGTTTTGGTTTTGGTTTTCTACAGCAAGGTGAAGGTCCTTTTTAAATTCACCAAGGTGGACAGTCGACCCAAAGAAGACACGCAGAAGCTCCTGAGCATCCTGGGAGCATCTGAGGAGGACAATGTCAAACTGCTCAAGTTCTGGATGACAGGCCTGAGCAAAACTTACAAGTCACATCTCATGTCCACGGTGCGCAGCCCCACAGCCTCAGCCTCGTAATTGATCCCACCATGGAAGTCGGTGTCTGGGAGGTGGTGATGGCCTTCCTTGCCACTGAGCTCAGAGGCGGGTCTCTGGTGGCAGGCACAGGCTGCCCTCCCATTTCTGAACTGCTGGCACAGAGCTGTTTTCTAGCAAGGAATGGAAACTGTTGGGGCTGAACTTTGCCTGTGTGTGGGATTTGGGCCTGGCGTAGTTCTTGGTACCATCCCACAAGCGATTACAATTACTCCAGACTGGAGAGGACAGTGGCAGACTTGTGACAACGGACAGGTCTGCTGCATTTGTGCACCCTTGTGAAAGACTAAATAAAAGGTGTGTCTGATGCCTCCCCTGGACTTAGATCTCAAAATTGATAGAGAAAACATGCCAGACCAGTCCTGATTTGGGTAGTTTAGCCACAATATCATACTCTCTTGAGGTTAACATTCAAAACTTTCTATTCTGAAGTTCAGCAAGCTTTCCAGGTTTTATATGTGTGCGTATATGTTTTGCTACAGTTGTGAATTTTCAGGATAGGTGCTGATCCTTAGTCATTTTTAGTAATCTTGTGTTGAGTTAGGGCTCTGGGAAAGGCTTTGGGGGATGGAGTAGATGTGTCCCTCATCTTTGGATCCCTCTGGAATTCATCTTCTAAAGTCATATGACTACCAGGTCCTCTGCCCATGTTCTCCCGAGGTTGCTTTGAAAGTACCCTCTAGCTTGAGGACAAGCCTCTGATCTTTGTTACACAAAGATGATATTTTGCTGAAATGTTTAGTGGAGCCATTTGACTTGAATAACTCACTGTGTATGGAACTCAGAAACCCACCATAATTGTATTCCACATCACTTTGCATTTATTACGTTTTAAAACATTTACACTTGGCTGCAGTTAATTTTCAGACTATGGTGATTTAAGATAAGAGTTTCATCATCCCAGTGTGCATTTTGGATAAAGGTTCATTCTTTGGAGGGATTTTCCAGCAGTTTTTCTGATTTGTTTAGTTTTTTTGTTTGTTTAATTTATATTTAACCTGAAGACTTTAAGTTTTTATGACTTGATATCTGTACCATGCAAGAACATTGAAACACAATAAAGATGTATTTTTATAAACTATTGACTACATCGTTTTATTGGTTTGATAACTAAAGTTTTCTTGAGATCAATCACAGAAAATTTTATGGATAAAGTAATACCAATGATATAACTATTAATATTTTGGAACTCAGGTCTATTAAAGGCTTGCAACTTTCAGGGAAAGACTTGGTATATTGTTAATTCTGGTCAGTTTCAGCTCTTTGCACCCCCAGCCACATAGCAGGCAGTGTTCACGTGTTCCTGCCGCAGCTCACACTCAGCATTTGGGAGCTACTAGGATGGGTAAAAAGGATCCTGTCCTTCCAGCTTTTGAGATTTCTGCTTCAATCACTGATTGCTGCTTCTGATCACAGAGGTGCAAACAAAGACGTTGGCAGCCATTGTTTTGCACCTCCCCACATTGTTGTAAGCCCTTCCTCTAGCTGAAGTGACTGCCTGGAGACTTAATGGGCTAGTGCCCTTCCCGACACCCCCCCCCACACACACACACACACACACCTCCTCCGCTTCATTTTTTGCTTTTCCTCTTTCAGGAACCAGATATTAAAGATGACAGCATTCAAAAATAAACTGCATATGGGGAAAATTAGAAAATGACTGCATGCCCAAGGTAAAGCTCAGAAAAGACCTGAGAAAAACTTAAGTTTACACCTCAGGCCTATCCTTGGCAAAAAGACAGCCTACAGCAATAAAATAAACAATAAAAACAAACCCTGGGAAAGGGGGAGTATTTGATTTCCAGAATTTACACATTATTAGATTTAAATATCCAGTGTTCAACAGAAAACCACAAGGCATACAAAGAAATAGGAACATGTGGCCCATACAAAGGAAAAAAAATTCAAAACCTGTCCATAAAAAAGACTTAATAGCAAATATATTAGAAAAAAATTCTAAAACAACTGTCTTAAACACGCTTAAAGAACTAAAGGAAGATGTGGAGAAAGTCAAAATGATGTGTGAACAAAATGAAAGTATCAATAAAGAGAAAACCTAAAAAAAAAAAAATTCCAGATCTGCAAACTACAATGACTGCAATAAAAAATTCACTAGAGGGATTAAAAGGCAGATTTGAGCAGGCAGAAGAATTAGTGAACTCGAAGACAAAACAATTTATATAGGCTGAGAAACAAAAAAGATTGAAGAAAAGCAAACTGCCTAAAAGACCTATGGGACACCATCAAAAGGACCAACATATGTATCATGGGAGTCCCAGAAAGAGATCAGAGAGAAAGGGGCAGAGAATATTTAGAGAAATAAGGCTGAAAGTTCCTTAAATTTGACTAAATATATGAATATAAATATACAAGAAGCTCAGCAAACTCCAAGTAAGATTAAAAAAAAAACCCACACCAAGACACATTATAATTAAACTTTCAAAAGATAAGAACAAATCTTGGAAGCAAAAAGAAGTGAATCATCATATATAAGGGATCCTCAATAAGATTATCTTAAGATTTCTCATCAGAAACTTTGGAGGCCAGAAGACAATGGGCTAATATAGTCAGAGTGCTAAAACAAAAAAGTCAACCAAGAATCCCATATCCATCAAAACTGTCCTTAAAAGTGAGGGAGAAGTCAAGACATTCCCAGATAAAAGCTGAGATAGTTGGCGACCACTAGACCTGCCCTGCAAGAAATGCTCAATGGAGTACTGCAAAGTGAAATGACACGACACAGCACCTCAAAGCCACACAGAGATATAAAGATTTCAACACAGGGAAATATGCAGGCAATTATATAAGCTAGTATTGTAACAATAGTTTGTTGTTTATAAGTTAAGAAACATACATGTAGGCCCGGCTGAGTGGCTCAGTTGGTTAAGAGCTTGCTCAAAGGTTTGAGCTCTGAGCAACAGCGGTTCGAGTCCAGCCCGAGCTGAGCTGCCGCTGAGTTGCCAACAGGTGGCAGGATGGCTCAGCTAAAAAAAAAAAAAGAAAAAGAAACATACATGTAAAGAAAAAATTGTTAATGTAAAAGCTGGTATTACTGTAATGATTTGTAACTGCAAATCTTATTTTCTACGTAATTTAGGAAACTAATGTATTTAGAAGAATTATGTTTGAGGACACACAATGTAGAAAGGTGTAATTTTGTGACATCAACAGCCAAAAGGGGTTGGGATGGAGCTGTAAAGTTTTTGTCTCTTTTAAGCCACTATAAATTCAAATTAGAACGTTATAACCTTAGGATGTTAAATGTAATTCCTATGGTAATCAAAAAGAAAATAACTATAGGGCTGGCCGAGTGGCGCGTTGGTTAAGAGCTGGCTTGGGATGCCAGAGGACTCCGGTTCAGATCCCACATATGAGGGCCAGTGACACTGCCCTCCACAGCTAAGATGCTGAACAACAGCTCAACCTGGAGCTGGGCTGCCGTGA